GAATTGCGCCTGACGGCTTCAGTATTGCTAAAAAAAAAAAGAAATGTTGCCGTGGCAGTGCTGTGCCCGTTACCGAAAAAAAGTAACGAAATAGCGTTACTCGTTAGTTTGGTAAAAAGTAACGCGTTATCGAGCTACGTTACTCTTTTACAAACGTAACGATATACCGTTACCGTTACTTTTCAAACATAACGAACGTTACTTTCACGTTACTTTTACGTTACTTTTCTGTTCGAGTACATATGTTTGGCAGAGATGTATGATAAGCCTCCTTAACAAGCTTGGATAAAGATAAAAATTTACAAAGTGGTTTCATAGTGTTTTGATGCGCGAAGCAGCTTAATTTTCGGCATGCAGATTAGGCATTGAAACTGTAAATTACCTGATTCTGTCTCCTTTAGTTGATACAATTCATCCAGACCTGCTGGCCATGGCGACGGACTTTCGTTATTCATGCCTATCTCACGCGCAGAATGAGTCGGAGATGTTAGTCAATCGGCTTTTATAAACCACAGCATGCGAACGAGGACTGCTGGAACACAACCAGCCAACCAACACCCCTCATCTGTACGCCGGTTTTAGTAACAGTCCGGTTCATACTATTACCAGAGACTGATTTACTTCACTATTTGGAACAGGACACCGGTTACCAGCACACTGGCTATAATCACTTGCTGCATCTTACCAGCAGTATCTCTTAGTTTTTCTGAGAAAAAAAAAAAAAAGGTTTGTAAGTTTTCCTTCCAGGTTTAAAACTTTTTTTAAAATTTTTTTATCATGACTTTAGGGAATTAAAGACTAATCAAGCGGAAGATTCTTCTGCGTGCAAAAGTAGGTTAGGAACTTTCAGGCAGCGAGGGGGAGAGCGAGGGTAAAATATTCCACAAAGGATGTCTCTTTTTTTTTTTTTTTTGAAACTACAGAAATGAGCAGATCGCTTCGCCACTAGTTGTCCACTATTGTAAACGGATGTCTCTCCACGCCCCCCCCCCCCCCCCGCCCCCGCTGTCCTCCTCTGCTGCACAAAGCAGGGGGGAAGAGGAGGGAGAAGAGGGGGCTGTAAAGCAATCGTTCGTTCAAGCCTTGTGGGTGGTGACACTATGCAAAAAAAAAAAAAAAAAGGAGGATGAACAGAATTAGCTGGTAGCCGGAGGTTTTTTCGCCTTCGAGAAGTGAGTTTTTTTGTTTGTTCTTTAACTTTACTGTGACGGATGCTGGTTCCGTGCAGCGAGAACCTGGTGCAGGATGTTGAGATAAGCTCCTGCAGGATTTCACCAGTTTTGGTCAAAAGTAACGAGTAACGAGTAGCGAAATTTGACAGCCGATACCGTAAAAAGGTAACGGAAATACTTTACTCGTTAGTCATTCAGAATACTAACGAGTACGTTACTGCGTTAGCGAAAAATGTAATGCGTTACCAGTAACGTCGTTACTAGTAACGCGTTACCTCCAACACTGTGCCATGGCCATTTTAATTTTAGAAAAAAAGTGTCCCATACCTATGCCTTTTCAAAAAAATTTTCCTTGCAGTGTCCATTTAAGAAGAGCGTTAGAGCAGCAGAGAGGGAAATACGAGAAGCGCTGATGCAGACTAAACCGGATCTCTAGATTCATAAAATTGTAATGTGAGTATAACAAGATAAACTATATATGGCAATTCTGTGGGAAGCTTGTATTTTGAGGCGAGGACGATTCGTTACAAATTAAGCTGTACAGAGCGAGATATCAGGGCAGAGATGGTCTGTGGAGCATGTGGGGAGAGAAGTGAGACGGATGAGCACTTATTACTATATATTAAACGGGTTCACCCAAGCGGAGATCATCCAGCACTGGCTACATGATTAAGTGATTTATTGGCACGAAACAGGTGCGCACACGGCATGTGTGCCAGGCAATGTAGATACCGGGATAACCATGGACGTCCATCGGACGTCCGAAAAAGACCCGAATATCCAGTGCAAAGTTGGGACGTCCATCGGACGTTTGGTGGACATTCCTTTCTGGATGTCCGTATTTGGAGACTCAGTATACGTCCGAGGGACATCAAATGCTGGCTACACCCACGGCTGGTTTCATTTTCATAGAAAATGCAATACAGGTTGCCATCCTTGTGCAGAAAAAACCTCTAGAGTCTATACTGTAACAGAATGCAGGCTCGTTACAGTAATTTGCACCTATTACGCCCGAACTCATAGAGGTGGTTTCATTTGAAGCCGGACTCCAAATTGTTCAAGTCCTCCTCAACACCAATCGTTCGACTTGAAAACGCCCAAGCTGGCTTTTGCGATTCATAGACGCTCCCGCGAACTTCCTTCGTCAAGTGCCGTTCAATTCGTGAGCAATCGCAGTGCTCCCCGCCCGGGAGCGTGATTCGGCCGCAAGTTTCCTTTTAAGAAGTATTTCCCACTTCAAAAAGAAGAAGTAACGTCGACGTACGCGATTTCTAGACAAATGCGCCTTTCCGATTGGCAACGGTGGCTCATTTGGCCGATGGCTCATGGCGTTTCTTTTCGTTTCGCTCGTGGGCGTCCCTCGCTTCTGGCCCCACGTGGCGCCATGTGAACTTCGACGTCTCCTTCGTTATGAAAACTCGGGAGAGCTTGAACTACGATTCACCGAAGACGAGAAACAAATGCTTATCAGGATTCAACAAGCATAAAAAGTTATTCGGGTGAGCGCCCGAGTACGATGTTGCGTCCACAAGCCTCGACGTGAAAGTTGAAATCCTCATAGGACCCTTCCCAAGGGACTATCTAATAAAGAAAAATGCGATTCGAACTCCCGATACGGGAGGAAAAGGACTACGAATAGAAGTGGTACTCAATGTACGTGAGTGTTTTTCAACATTTCGTTATTGCAAATTATGCGGCGGAGTGCTCTCTAGGATATGTAAACTGTAAACTATGCGGTCTGGCCTAAGCGCTTTTTCTGCTGTTTTAAAGGCTATTCTGTGTTGCTAAAATGTTTCTACAAATGATTGCTTTAATGGGCGCCACTACATATAGCGTTGGGCGCTGTGCCAGTATTTTCAGATATCGAAACCAGGAAGTAGCTACTTGGCGTCATACTTTTCGCAGCTATATGTTTACCTCGTCAGGCTTTCACAAGCCTGTGTTGCCATGGCAACACAAGGCCAGAACATGTTGTGCATGAGGCAGAGAAACTGTCGCTAATGTTTTGGGGCGCCTCAAGAGAGCTGTCCATGAAATTTTCATTTTTCTAATTTGCTTTCGACAATTTCGGCTGTTGTTAGTAATCTTGACGGTGACACTTTCTCATTTTCACATTCCTAGATTTAAGTCAAATAATGTTATGTTTCTTCAAAAATCTCCTCCCTAAAGATGCAGTCCACGAGCAGGAGCAGCACCATGAAGAATATGAACTTTGTGGTTACACCTTGTATATTTAATATAAATGCCTCACATAAACTTTTTTTCCGAGAGGAATCTGCTTCCCCGAACAGTAAATGCGGTCTGGGCTGGACATGATTTCCAGGCAAGTAAATGAGCACGGTTATTTCGCGGCAGAGATTCATACTCGCCCCTTGTCTACAGCAATTCAATTGTTGTTGATTACGGGCTTTATGGCGCAAAGCTACTATGGCCATAATGAGCCAATCTGCTGCAGCCGATGGTGGAACGGTAGGAAGGTGAACCATCAAAATGATTTGTTGGCCTAGTTGGTTAAACATTACGAAAATTAAAAAAGCGCAAAAGACAAGGACAAGAGGGAGACAACACAGGACAAGCGCTTTCCTGTGTTGTCTCCCTCTTGTCCTTGTCTTTTGCGCTTTTTTAATTTTCGTAAGGTGAACCATCTGTTTAGCAAGAAGAATAAGAAGCGACGAGGACATGAGAAAAGCGCTCCAGGAGATAAATGCAAGTTCCTACTTTCCCAACTCCGCCACGGAAGCGGCAGTAACCTAGTTTGTTTTCAGTTTGATTTTGAAGGAAAACGTGATTTTTGCATTACGAGTGTAACGACGAAGCAGTTAAAGACCGCAATTATATGTTGAATTTTATTAGTACGTCAGATGTAGTTCTTTGCGTGATCTAGATGAGTTTCTTTTTTGTGTGTTGTTTTGTTTTACGTTTAGCTGCTGATGTCCGTGCCTAGACTGTTAATCGCCTCTTGTTCTGACCTCAACTTCATACCACGTTTCGCTCCTGTCGCCCTAACTGGCAATTCCGTTGAGACATCCTTAAATAAAACACACACACACACAGCAATTCATTTGCCGCGGGTATTGTTGTTGACGTTCTATTCCGAATCGCAGAAATTGCAACCGCTCAGTTTGTAAAAGTAATAAACACCAGAGTACATCTTAAAAGGGTTTCCTTCTAGCCCCTTTAACGATGCCATAAAACAAGCGAGGCAAGCAATTGGAGGACCTAACGAAAGCTCTGGAAAACTAAATGACAGCATTCAAACAGAGATTACAATCATATCAATATGAATTGAGTATTTTTGGGGCTTGAATGCTGCACATACTTAATTTTTTTGCGAATCCCGCGTATCTTTAAATAAAAAAAAAATAAAAAAAGCCTTTCATTTGCCGTGATTATTGTTCCTGGAGTTTTATTTTGAATCGCAGAAATTCTCACCGCTCAGCTTGTAAATGTAATAAACACCAGAGTACATCTTAAAAAGGGTTTCCTCCCAGCCCGCTTAACGACGCCATAAAACAAGCGAGGCAAGCAGGTGGCGGACCTAACAAATGCTCCGGAAAACGAAATAACCGTATTCGAACACAGATCACAATATAATGATTATGAAATGAGTATTCTTGGGGCTTGAATGTTGCGCATACTTATTTTTACGGATTCTGCGTCTCCTTGACTGATGAACAAGTCACGAGAACCTATAAAAAAACATGGACATGTATTGTTTCATTGGCTAAATATTCCATAGGTTTCAAAAATCCAAGAAGCTCATTGTTTATGAATGAATAAATATACACCAAAAGGAACGTGGAACAGAAGGAAAGTACGGTTTCGATGATGCTTGCCGTAAAGGTTTTTCTCGTCTTGTTCGCTCTGCTAGCGGGGGAAAGCGAATGCAATACTGAAGATAGCGATATGAAGCTCGCCCGAGAACAGAACCATTTTGCCCTCAAGCTTCTAAAGGAACTCTCCAGCGAACAGCCAGAATCGAACCTCTTCTTCTCTCCGACAAGCATCTCCGTCGCACTCGCCATGGTCTACGCCGGCGCCAGGGGCAAGTCCGAAGCGGAACTTTCCACTGCTCTCGGCCACACCGCAGCGGGACTGTCCAGCAGAGAATCTATACTGGCGTCTTACAAAAAGATTCTCGCAGAACAGCAGATTGATGAAAATGTAAGCTTGATGATAGCCAATGCAGTCTTTCTGAAGAAAACACTGAAAGTCCTCGAAAGTTATCAGAAGGAGCTCGTTGACATCTTTGCGGCAATGTTCCGGTCGGTGGACGTTGGGGCAGAAAATTCCGCCATGGAATCTGAGGTTAACGAGTGGGTGAAGAACAAGACCAAAGGCAAGATCTCGGGCTTCAAAATTCCCGCAAACACCATAATGACACTTCTCAATGCCATTTACTTCAAGGGACTATGGAACACCTCTTTCGATCCCAACTATACATCCCCACTTCCTTTTTACAACAAAGGATCTGAGGAGGTTAAGGTAGAAACCATGACTCGAAGCGGATGGGTACCGTTCACCTCTGAACCCGACTTTGCAGCCATAGAACTGTCTTACAAAGGGGACAGACACAGCATGGTAATCGTACTTCCAAGTGAAAAAAGGGGACTTGCCAAACTTCGGCAGGCCATGACTGTCGAGAGCGTAAGAAAAATCCATGTAAGTTTGAAACAACGTTTTGTCAGGATTCAACTTCCAAAGTTCGACTTGAAAACGGAGTACAGCCTCGTCCCTGCCCTGAAGAAGTTGGGTGTGGCTTCGATCTTCTCTGACGCCGATCTGTCGGGAATCACTGGCAACGGAGGGCTGGTGGTGAGCGGGGTCCTGCACAAGGCAGCCGTCGAGGTCAACGAAGAAGGCACGGTTGCTACCGGCGTAACCGTAGTAGCGACGGCTATGAGTCGTCCTCCATCCTTCGCCGTTAATCGGCCTTTCCTCTTCTACATCTGCGAGAAAGCTACCGGCCGTGTGCTATTTTTGGGAGAAGTGCACGAACTCCCAGCCGCTAAGGTGAAACCCACCCTTCGTTAGTGTCATTCTGAATTAACAGATGGTTAGGAGGTCGCCTTTCAGACATGTGCATAAACGCAATAAATCGTGTGTGGTGTCGCATCGATACAATGTTGTATTTTTCTTCCTCCTTAAGTTCACACCCCTTGCCGTTCGCTTCTTTTTCAATGTGACAGCTTTTTGGGCAACGCAGCCCCGCTGCGCCTGTTCTCCTGTGAAGGAGCAGCTATCTACGCTATGCCCTCGCATCTCCAGGATATCTGGTAAAAACAAAACGTGAAAATTTTGATGATCTAATAGCTTAGACTCTTCGTGTATTAGTCTTTTTAATATGTTAGTCTCTTAGTCGTTTTAATAACTTCGTTTCTTAGTTGTGACCGTAACTGATCTAGTAACCGCTACTAGCTTGAGCGGTACTTGCTACGGTTACCACAGCGCAGTATAGTAAACGTAAAGAGAGGATACTAAAGCCGAATCGTGGCCCAGATAGTGCGTTTAATGCCCTCTGCTACGTGGCGCTTCTCTGTGACTTGGTTAAAATTAATCAGAGCTATTTCTGTAAGGAGTCTTTATTTTTCAATTTTATCTTTTGTAGTTGTTTAAATTACCTTAAATTACTAAATAGTTCTAATCTAATACTTCACAATAGCCACGTGATGAATGGCGCCTGGTTGAAGTTGAAGATGATGATTGGGGTTTAATGGCGCAGGAGCGACTATGGCCATATTGCGCCAAGAAAGTTAATTTAATACATATAACCTTACTTATCTATATCAGGTGCAAAAAGCCAATTGCATGTAGGAAACTTAAAACTCGAGCAAATGGTACCCAAGGTCATACACCAAGCAAAAAATAAGGATGAAATGGAAGGATGGTGTGTGAAAGGTTCTGGAAAATATCTTCGACGTTGATGGTCGAAAAATCTACAATTCCACAGGATGTGAAGGATAGTTAACATTTTCCCACACTTTTCACAGAGCTTTACATCTTCACCGCAGAGCAAGTGCGGGTGAGTCAATCGAGAATGACCAATAATCAAGCGGCACAAAAGAACTTCCGAACGGCGGTCCTTATGGGAGGAACTCTCCCACACTTCTAAGTTCGGCTTAATAATGTGGAGTTTGTTATCCATCTGTGTGTCCCAATCCTGTTGCCATAACTTTATAATTGACTCGTTTAAGGCTGGCTTGAGGTCTTGGTGTGGCAGGCCAAAAGACGTTTCCGTGTGATTTTTTGCAGAAATTGCAAGGTGGTCTGCATTCTCGTTACCGTGAATGCACAGATGACTGGGCACCCAGCAGAAGTCTATAAATTGTCCTAGATGGAAAGCTTTGTTTATCTGAAAACAAACCTGTTGCACACGAGTGTTCTTGCTGTCTGCTAAAGATGAAATAGCTAAGAGAACACTTTGGGAATCAACAAACAGAACTGCTTTGTTAATGTTATTTTCTAGAATATATTCAATAGCCATCAGGATACCATACAGTTCAGCAGTAAAGATAGTTGCTAGAGGGTTGAGTTGCCTAACTACACTGAAAGCGAGAGAATAAACTGCACAGCCTACGCAATTCGATGTTTTCGAGCCATCAGTGTAAAAGTGGAGATAGTCACTATATTTCTGCTCTAGCTCTGCGAACTCCCGCAAGAGAACAAGAGGATGAACAACTTTTTTGCTGTACTTTGAAAGTGACCAATCACAAGAGATTGGCCCCGAATCCCAAGGAGCAACCCTATAGGCCTGTCTCAACAAAGGAGGCTCATAAAAAGAAAGGTGCAGCGACCTTGCCATGCTCATAGCCCAAAAGCTCAAGGGCCGAACAATACTGGGCTTACTCTCAAAAAGGCGCAATGATGCAGAGGTCTGCAGAGCAGAGAATGAAGGGTGGTGTGGATCACTATAAACTTTGTAGGCATATTAGAGACTAAGGTATTGTCTGCGTCGCTCAAGGGACATCTCATGCGTTTCAGCATACAGACTCGGCACGGGCGACGTGCGAAAGGCAGCTGTGGCTAGACGCAGGCCCAGGTGATGGTCTAACATCTTCAAAGCAGATGGTCGTGCCGACGCATATACCGGTGCACCATAATCCAACCGGGACCGCACTGGAGATTTATAAATTCGCAGCAAGCACGTCTGTCAGACCCCCAAGTTGTGCGCGACAGCACTTTAAGAATATTGAAAGATCGTACGCATTTTGTTTTAGTTCTTTCAAATGGGGTACGAATGTGAGCTTCTTGTCGAATATCATGCCTAGAAACTTGTGCGCCTCCTTAACAGTAATGGTAAGGTTATTCAGATGCAAGGTAGGATCCGGTGACAACCCTCAACGCAGCAAAAAAAGAACCCATACGATTTTGTCGGGGGAGAAACGAAACCCATTTTCGGCTGCCCACTTGCTCATCCTGTTGATTGTCAGTTGCAGTTGACGTTCACAACTATGCAGATTGCAAGAAGAAACTGAAATTTGCACATCATCCACATACAAAGAATAAGATACTGTCGGTGGTATCACCTGAGCCAGGCTATTGATTTTAACTGCAAAATGTGTGACACTAAGCACCCCTCCCTGAGGGAGTTTGATTGGTTTGATTGGGTTTTTATGGCGCAAGGGCTGCTAAGGCCAAAGAGCGCCAAAGAAGGAAACTATTGCATTGAGGGTAAGCGAGAAGAAAGGACTCTAGTGGTCAGGGTTAAAAGTAAAGGAATGAGACATGAATCGGATAATGTCACAAACAAAAATGGACATGAGTGAAAAGCTTTGAAGTTCACAGTCGATGTAGAAGACCAATAGCTTCTAAAAACTTAAAAAACCTGCTTGTGAGTTACGAATGGTTCATCACCCAATAACAGCGTTGGGTGTAAAGGAATGTGCTTTCTGTATAACTCTGCGAAGTGAGATCGGCGTTCCCGTTCATAGAAAGGGCACTCAATTAGAAAATGGATAACAATACAATACAATACAATACAATAAACTTTATTTTTCCAGAAGTACTGGAGGGGTCCCCAGACAAAAAGCTGCTAAAAGCAGCTTGACTGACTCTGGGTCCCCCTTATACATGGCAGCAGCTCGGACAGCAAACATATAAAACACTTTACCATGGTGATAAGAAAAATAAAACAAGGTCACATAACATTGGAGTAGCAGAAGAACAAAATTAGCTATGAATAGTTAAAACAGTAGGTACGTAAGTCTTTTTTGCCGATTGTGTAGATGTTTATGTTGTTCGTGGAACATTTATTTAACACGTATGGTACTTTGTAATGCAATGATTGGAGGTTGTAATTTGTGCGGCACCGAGGAAGGAGCCAAGTGTCGACACGGCGTGTGTTTAGATTACTTTCACGTTTCTGAAGTTCAGAAATAAAATACAAAAAAATCTATGAGTGTTGGCGATGAGAAACGAAGGGTACAGAGTAAACGATAATTATACACGCGTTCTACGGGAAGTATCTTATATCTAGAAAATAATGGTTCTGTATGGTCTGTATATGAGACACCCGCGATAAAACGTAAAACTTTTTTTTGCAATAATAGTATATTTTGAAGGTTTGTCTTAGTTGTCGTAGCCCATACAAGATTACAGTAATTTAAATTGGACTCAAATAGTGCGTAGTAAAGTTTTAACTTAATGCTGATTGGTAGAACATGACGACAGCGGGCAATAATGCCGACAACTCTGGAAAGTTTAGCAATTAGATAGTTAACATGGCTGTCCCACATCATATACTCGGAAAAAAGTACTCCTAAAATTTTATGTTGGCTAACTAATTCAATTTGTGAATCACCAAGTTTGATTTCATTTTTAACCAGAACTGGTTTATTAATAGATCTAAATAAAATGGCTTTAGATTTTTGGGTGTTTACTTTAAGGCCATTAACTTTGAACCACATGTCAAATTTACTTAAGATATTATTCGCTTTACATATCAGAACATCAGCATCAGTAGCAGAAACAAAGAGGCTCGTATCATCAGCATAAATGACAAACTGAACTTGGTGATCGATGTTAACAATATCATTTATGTATACATTAAATAGAAAAGGCCCAAGTATGCTTCCTTGCGGCACACCAGCAATAACATTATGAAAGGAAGAGTAATGACCGTCAATTACTACGCACTGTTTCCTATATTGTAGATATGATGTAAGTAAAGCAAGGGGTACTCCGCGGACACCATAGTTGCCAAGTTTAGCAAGAAGAATCTGGTGATTGAGAACATCGAACGCTTTACTGAAGTCTATAAATACACCTAACGTAAGAAGCCTTTTTTCAATATTTTGCAATATAATTTCTTTTTGAAGTAATAAAGCGGCTTCAGTGGATTTACCTTGTCGAAAACCAAATTGACAGTCCGATAGTATAGAATGTTTTGTAAAAAACGAATTTAGACGTGCGAGTATAATTTTTTCAAGTGCCTTAGAGAAGATAGGTAATACTGATATAGGCCTGTAATTATTCGGGGCGTTCTTATCGCCTCCTTTATATATAGCAGAAACTTTTGCCAACTTCATGTTTGCTGGAAATTGTCCAGATGATAATGCCAAATTATATATGTGTGCTAAGCATGGGGCGATTATATCTATTACATATTTAGCCGGCTTTATTTGTAATTGATCAACGTCACTACTTTTGCTGTTATTTAGTCCTAAGATTATATTACATATCTCAATTTCGTCAGTTGGATTTAGAAAAAAAGTATCGTTATTATGCCTCACAAATGAAAGGGCACTAGGATTAAAAGCAGTGGGTTGTTCAACCGAAAAGTGAGTGTTAAAGCATTCCGCCAGACTTTCATCGGACATAACTTGACCGTCTATTTTTAATTCACCGATAGAGGGGGACACCTTTGTACGATTTATGACTTCATTTATTATTTTCCAAACCACATCAGGGCGCTCTCTAGTGACATTATGGAACATATGCTTATAGTATGAAGATTTTGCTTTTCTAAGTTCAGAAGTTAGATCATTCCTAAATTTCTTAAAAGATGAGAGCCTGTTTGGGTCCCTCGTTTTTAG